GGAGGGGAGGGGAAAGAGAGAAATGTAGGTTTGGAGAGGGTGAGGAAGGAATGGGGTGCACACTAAGATCAATTATTCCTCTCGTAAATATTTACTGTTTTTAATTTTTTTATACACTTTTCGTATGAATGAACACGTTTTACCCTGACAAGTGCAACCTTTACAAAGTTGAGGAAAGACACTTAAAATTATACCTTGTATCTTGACATACGTCTTGTGCATTTTAGGAACGTTAATAGAAGTGCCTTTATAAGGTACGACTTGAGGAAGTGAATTCAAAGCAACAACTTTTATTCAAGCAATTTCAGTATTTCCATCATCTTCATATTATACGCTTTATAGGAACAAAGGGCCTTTTTCAATTCTCAGGGAGAACGAAGCGTAAAATGGTTTTCCCAACTCTTGCCAAAAAGGAATAAATCTGTGCTACAGTCAAACTTCCTTACACGATGTAGATCTACTGACTACCTTGGGACAAGCGTGAAGTTAGCGGAACAGCGGGGCTGATGGAAAAACGGGATGGCAACGATGGTCATCTTGACTAGTGGTAGACTGGAAAAGGCAAGAGACTAGAGCCAAACTGCGTCAGTCTTGCCTCATTTACACCTGTCTTGGGCGATTGCTATGTCTATGGAAAAATAAACAAGCAACCAATTATGTAAAGCCTCGGGGTAAATTCAAATTAAAAGAAGCTAGGGTCAGAAGCTGGGTGTCAAGGACATCGTAAACGTGCTGTTTTTTTTATGTAACCGATACGTCAGTCCTCGAGTAGCCTTACTTAAACCGGTCTTGTAGACTTGAGCGCGAGCCCTCACAATAATATAAAAGCCTCATGGACTGATAAATGGGGACGCCATAGATTTTACCGGCAGGCTGATGTGGAGCAGTTGGTTCTCTTGACAACTTTGAAATTTCATTCCAGTGATTATCTAAATATTGGTAAAAGTCTACAACTAATAACATTTTCATAATCAGCGCAAATCGGGAGCAAATCGACAACAAACGCCGGAAATAGGCCGAACTTGCAGAGACGTGTGTGGGAAAGAAATGATCAAGCAGCCACCCAGTGGGCGCTCTACGCCGCGTGTATTGTGTGTACTGTGTACCTCGAGTGGCCAGTTCACTGGCTGTATTATAGGGGCAAATCTACATTTGTTAGGGACGGTACAATTCAGTCACTTGGCGGATGGCGGATGGCTGTGTGTAAAGGCTTGGATGCTATGTTGATATAGACGTTCCTTGTACAACGGGGAGCGGTTGGAAGGGGGGGGGTACAATGAAGTTTGGCTGTAAATTTGCTCGTCTGTTTACGTTAGAGTCAAGTCAGGACAAAGAGACTAAGTGAGCACCGGCTGGTCCCATTCATGCCGACACTGCCATGGGGCGCTTTGCAAGTGGCACGGAGTCGGCTCCGAGCAGCACGCGCAGAGCGTGAAGGAAGCGTTATCCCTCATTGCATCTTCGTTGAAGCCCACCAGATCTTCTTTCGACTCTGACAAATGTCCAGAGTGGACCAATCCGCCACTCTGATTACCTGCGTGTCTTGCAAGACCCTGGCTCCCCTCGAGGAAGTTTTCTGATTTGCTGTGAGACAGCACTGAAGTGTCATCAAGTGGCGCGCTCGGCTTGTCTCGACCGACAGCTGCCATAGCTGAGAAACAGAGCCGAGATGACAGAGCTGGGCCGACATTGGCGTTCAAGCAATCTATGTGTCTCAGAGTGTCGGTAAAACTGTTCTGATTTGTGGAAGATTCTCTTACGCTGAGCACGTCGTAGGAAGAACTGCGCCTGCGTAGACCACTCAGGCTCCATTCTAGGTCAATAGCGGTCTCCATCTCTGCACCGCCCCAAGGATCCCATTCATTGTCCAGGGAGAAAGAGCTATTACGTGGGCTCTCTGCTTCATCGAAATCGGGATGCATTCTCTTTCCTGCAGACTTTTTCTTTCGACGTCTCAATTTATATAGGTTTCTTATGCCCTTGAATAAACTATAAATCCTACCTCCATCATCATATTTAGATGCTTGGTGGGATGGACATAGCTGACCTATTTTGGCTTCATTCAGACTATCACCTGTCTCTCCAAAGCTTCCAGACTTCTTAAGCGATGTTTCGATAACTTTTGGTTTCGTACCATTGGCGGTGTCCTCATGGTCAGGGGTATATTTACCAGAGCCCTCATCAAGCTCGCTGTACTTTTTGGGTGAAGATGTCCACCTCTGTCTCTTCGTGTTCCAACGCAGCTTCTCGTTGGCAGCGCTGCCTTTAACTTCCATTGGACACCCTTGTTCTTGACCACACACGCCCTCTGTAGTCGCTTTCCTTTGCGCTCTTCTGTCCATGAAATCAAACCCGGTAAAACTCTCAACGGAAACGTTGCTAAAGCCGTCGCTCAATTCACTGATGTCTGAAAACAAACCACCAACTACAGTTGGAACAGTTTTCTGAATGTTTTCTTTTCCTTCAGGACCATGTGGTTCTTCGACTTCTTCGAGCAGTGGAAGGCCTCGCCCACCATGGCCGCAGATGCGTCTGAAAATACCCCCAATGGCAGACGATATTCGGTCTATAGTTGACTTCCGGTATCGTAGCTGGTTGAACTGAGTCACCACCCCGCTGATAGTTGAGCGAGCAGCGCGTGGTGGAGAGCTGGGGAGCTGAAAAGTTGTTGGGCAAAGAGTTGGAATTGTATGAATCGTTGGGTGTACTTAAAAAAACGTTCTCCGCGAAAAACTTTAAGAGAGGGAAAATCATTATCCGGTACTTAGTTTGGCCAATGGTCAATTGTAGAACAGTGAACTATAACCCCCCCCCCCCCACCCCCGACTTCCCTTTCCTCATTCTCCACCTGCTTTAAAGTAAGATAAGAGATAATACTTCATTGTCCGGGACAGTTCCTCAAAAAAGGAATGTACAGGTCTACTTGTCTACTTCAGCACGCCCCCCCCCCACGCCCTCCACTCGTATAATGTTAAAATAGTCTTGGACACATAACATTATGACTACCCCCATGTTGGTCCCACAGGGAGTGAAGGTCCAGGATGGGCACAGTCAAGTAAGTCCAGAATGGGGGTATGAAAGAGACCTTTACCGAATAGAAGAATAAAACAACCATAATAGCGGTGATGGGGGTATTGGGCTGCTTGAGAAACTGTATGAGTAAATGAAGACTTGGGTCAATAGAAATAGGCAAGAATGGTGGGGCGGGCGGGGGGGGGGGGATTGTTTTAAGAAGTCGAACATCTTTTTCATGTCTAGGAAGTGTTATAGGCGATACGGGAGGACAAGTCTTTGTTGTCAAGAGCAGGATTGGAACGTAAGGGGAGCATTCTAACAGTTACAGTCTGTCAGGAGATTGAGAACCGTCATGAAAAGTTCAAAGATCCGGCTGTAGTGGCATCCAAAGAAACTTGAATATATGTAATCGCCAAATCATCGTGTTTAAGCCTTGCACTACCTACTCATACAGCATACCAATGAAAAAATTAAACAAAATACATTCTGCAGATATGGACACTCAAAATTGACCTTAAAAAATTAGGCTTGGCAAAATTGTGCAAAATCAAAAAAACGTAAAGTTGTCCTCGTGAATGTATTGAGGAGCAACAGTATTGATAAAATGGACAAACATTGCATATCCAATGAATAGAGAATTTTGTCTCAGCAATTAACACTATTTTATTACGATATTTTATTACTACATTTTCAAACAAAATGGAAAAGAGCAATAACAAATGCCACACAGAATTTGGACTTAACATTATGTGCTTATTGTTGCTTTACTTAGGATTCTATTGGTTTTGTGTAAAGCACGAACCCTTTGGGCATCGTCTCTATTAAAACCCTTTGGGCATCGCCTCTATTAAAATTTGGTCATAATTATCTATCATTTCACTCCAAATGTCACAAGGAGTTGCGAATGAAGGGTCTGAATTGAGAGCAAAGTCGCTTTTCTTAAGCTTCTGTTTCAAGGCGGCTTCACATACTTGTAGGATTCACACTGGGGCCAATTACTGGTGACATCTCCAACGTTGATAGGATTTGGTTTTCCAAAAATTGAAACGTGGTATTGGTCCTGTGAGAAAGTGTTTTGCTATGCTTGGAGATGTCTACTTGAATGTTACCATGACGAAAATGAGGGTCTGACATGACGTTCCGTTCCAGCACTTGTGAGATGTAGTCCACCAAGCCAAGCCATCCGGTGATTCACACGAGGGTGGGAGAGGAGGGGGGAGGGGGGTGTTCATTCAACCCTAGACCACCCAAAACCATGACAGTTTTGCGGGCCCTCTTCTTCACTGACAGGTGATTATGTCCAAAATCTAACACAGTCCATGTGAAAAAAAAAGGTTTCTTGTTTCAGATGAAACCAACAGCTCTTAAATAAAAAAAATTAAAAAAAACAATATACAAATGAACACATTATGTACTGTTAAGGTTAGGTTTTTTGTTTGGTTTTTGTGACTGCTCTGTTTTCCAATCTGGTTGAAAATACAGTGAAACACTGATATAAAGAACAAGCCTGGGCAGAAAATACAGTTCTTTATATCAGTAGTTCTTTATTTCAGTCAACACACACACACACACACACACACACACACACACACACACACACACACACATACTTTTTCCCATATATTCTTTTCCCGTCATAATAATAGGAATAGTATATATGGTACATGTACAGTAACTTATTTTTTCCCAAGAGAAGGGGAAAAAAAGGAAGCTGTGGAAGTTGGCTGCTTCCCTCTTTCTCCTATAAAGTTGTTTGTCCCCAAGAACGTAAAAAAATCCCCCCCCCCCCACCGTCCCATTGACTCCGAAATAGTTTCTCAATTTCTCCATGTTTTGTTTTGCCTCCGCGAAGCTCACTGTCACAGTTATCTGCTCATGGTCTTCACTGTTTGAGAAGTAGAAGCTTCCTTCATTCCTTCACTTGCTCCATAATTTCAACATCGGAAAGCACTGCTGCTGTTTGCACACCAGTGTCAATGTCTGTGTAAGCAGACTCCCGTAGCAGATGGGCAACTCTTGGTTTGGTCAACTCATAGAGATGGTCTGGTTCGTTACTTCAGTCGTAAATAAGGAGGAGAAAGACTTGTTGGGCAAGAGAATTGGTTCGTTACAGCCGTCAGTTCGTTATCGTATGTTCGCTAAATGCGTCAAAATATAAATGACACAAAAAAACAACAACAACCCCCCCCCCCCAAAAAAAAAAACCGGGGCAACGAAACGTGTTCTCTATTTCTGTCAGTTCTTTAAAAGAGTGTTCTTTAGAGGTGTGCTCTACTGTATCATCAGAAGATGCTTCTCATTGCAGAGACAGACAATAATATTCTCTTTTAATTTGATATCAATTCCATCGAAGTTGATGCACCTCAATACACGCGCGAACACAATTTTACGTTTTTTTGTTTTCGGACAATTTTGCCAAGCCTGATTTTGTAAGTTCAGTTTTGAGTGACCATATATCTCGGCATCTCTTGACATAGATGAAATATTAGTGTGTCAGATGATGATGAATCTAATTAGCTTTAAGTAGGCATGCTGCATGGGCGCGTAGTGCAAGTCTTTAACACGATGATTACATTTTCAAGTTTCTCTTGGAAGCCACTGTATACACACACACACACACACACACACACACACACACACACACACACACACACACACACACACACACACACACACACACACACATATATATATATATATATATATATATATATATATATATATTTATGTATATAACGTGTATTAATATTGTATGGGTTGGGAAAAAAAAAGAAATTAACAAGGCAGATCATAAGCAAATTTTTGCCCTTCATTAATGATTTCCTGAATAAGATCATGAAAATCCCCGGGCCAGACACTATCAAAAATGTTGTGTAAATAAGGAGAACCAAACAACAACTTATTGGCCTTGGGATCAAGACGAGGAGAAGATGGCGATGAGTTGGACATGCCCTCAGAAAGCCAGTCCACAACGTGACAAGACGAAGTCTAAGATGGAACCCCTGTTGGAGGATAAAGAGAGGAAGGCCGAAACCCTGAGAATGATCTAGAGGCAGATGTCAGGCATATGGGGTACAATTAACTGAAGATAGAGAAGATCGCCCAGAACACAGAACGGTGGAGAGCGCCCTACACCCGATACCAGGGTGAAGTAGGCGAATACTGATTTCCTTGAGAGTTACAGGGGTTATAGTGTGCTCGTGACAGTCAGGGATGAAAATAACCGAGCTAACAGCATCCCCTCATTTCCCTTAGGAATATACCTGAAATGCATGAGAGCTGGCATGCTCCTGTGGATCCTCACAGTAGGTGAGCTCGGTCAAGGCATCCAAATCTTGCCATAATATCTGGAAAAAGGCAAAGAAAGATTACGGGGTCTGTACACATTTCTTCTTTTAATTCTTGAAGAGAGACTTAAGTGTTACCGGTGGAAAACCCGGGAGCACCGATAGCTTAGTTGGTTTCAGCTTAGTTGGTTTAGTGTTGGGCTATAGTCTGGACTGTGGCTGGCCTTAGTTCGAATCCAGAAAGAATTGTTTTTGAACTTCGGTTGTTTGGAGAGCTTTTTACTCACTTAAGTCGGTAGCATCCGATTGGACTTAAGATTCGAAAAATCACCCCATATTACTATCATACAATAATGAAAATTCGTGCTCTCTTTGACCATACAATTTATTCTATCCACAAGAAATCGTACCTTTAAGAGCGAGCATACTTTCCGGGAAATAGGCAGGCCACACGTACTACAAAAGTAATGAAAATCAACAGTCACCTAAACTATATCCGAGCCCTAAAATGTTTTGCCCTTAAATTGAACCAACCCACAACTCTGAAACCTTACCATAACGTTCGAATCAATCATCAACTTTAACTCTAAAAAGAAGGTGTAGCCCTGACTGTAAAACAATAAGTAAGACCCCAGTTAGACAGGATAAGCCAAGCTGTACATTATACTGTGCAAAACAGTACAGTGCCGTTCGTTATATGACGGCTTATACCGATTGTCCCATGGTCCCACGGATGGGCGGTAGATCTATATGCTGTGTAACGTGGGTACGACATCCCGAGATAATAATTCTTTAATGGCTTCTGCTGATGAGAGGAATGCACTTACAGTGCTGTCATGACCAAGTCGCTTCAACGCAGGGGGTACAAGAGGCGTCTTGTCCGATGCAGTCGTCATAGTTTGATTCTGGATTACAGTTTTAATCGCTTAGCCTGAGCTGTTTTGTCTTCAGACATAGATCTACACGCAGCGACATGCACTGTCAAAGGCCAGCTTCCGGGGTAACAAAAGTCAATTAAATTCATCATGGGGAAAATTCCTTTTCTACCTTTTTTCAGACGTGAGGAAAGAACTCATATTCTGATAGCGTCATTTCTGTACGTCTCATTCTCCCTTGCGCCAAATGAAAGCGCACCAATAAATTAATAAAATGCAACTCACCTTTCCCAAAATATTTATTGATACAGTCGTAGTCTATTCTTTAACCCTTCCACTACCAAGCAGGGAGCATTATCTTATCAAAGGGTGCGTAGCAATCTCAGGTTTGACAGTGAAGGGGTTAAAATACTTTGCCTAATTACTGAAACTATATATATATATGCTACCAAAATGAAAGTTCTGAAATGATACGTATGGTCAGCCCTTCTATAAGGTTGTGAATGCTGGACAATCACTAAAGACAGTGAAAATAAAATAGAAGCAACAGAAATGTGATTTCTTACGAGAATGCTGAGAATATCGTGGAAGGAAAAATAAACCATATAAGGTGGTGCTTGATGAAGCCCACGTGTGACGCCCACTGTTAAAAACAATCAGGAAACGACAAATGCAGTTTCTGGGACAGCTGAATAGACATAAAGGCCTTGGACGTCTAGCTCTCCCTGTCAGAATAGAAGGCAAACGAGGAAGGGGTAGGCCCAGAATGGGTAACGGGGAGCGACCAGGGGAAAATAGCTTTTTTTAAAGAGCATCCAAGCAAAGGAATGAATGATGAAACATATGATCCCCGATGTCTATCGCAGATTTGGCACTGGATGATGATGATGATATAATAAAGTTGGCGATACAACGGGGTACAACGGCCTCGATTGCCTAACGTCAAGGAACATGATTCTGCTGTGCGGCTGTGTTTGAAAAGAATCTTTTTGTTTTTAATAGATCTAGAGTCTATACATGTTCCTTTATGCATATGTATTCAGAGCCAAGAGTCTTCTCTCTCTCTCTCTCTCTCTCTCTCTCTCTCTCTCTCTCTCTCTCTCTCCTTCTCTCTCTCTCTCTCCTCCCCCCATGTCTGTCTGTCTCTCTATCTCTCACCCTCTGTCTGTCTGTCTGTCTCTCTTTCTGTAGATGACTTCTCGTGAGAGAAAGGTTATCTAGAAGTATTCAAGCTATCATGCATGTGAGTGTTGTGTGCCCTGCGCAGTGTTTACCTTTAGCGACCAGTTCGTTGGCGGTTTGGCAGGGTAAATTTTCTTTAGTTAAATAAGGACCATACAACTCATGACAGAGGCGGATGGTGGATGTCGGTGTAAATGCGCGTAAATGCTATGTTTACAAAGAATCTACGTGCTCCTTTTTGTGTTTTGGCAAACCTGGCGAAGAGGGCTAGCGAAATAACGGTGGGCGGCATACGAGGTTATATAATTATATATAATATATATATATATATATATATATATATATATATAACACATTTAAAGATAATGGTAAATGTCTGGTCACCAAATCATTTATTTCAACACCTGATCTGAATCTGGTTTAAGGTTTTTAAAAACAAAAAAGAAAAGAAAAACAACAGATGCCGAAAACAGGCTATTTCCCTTGAGGTTAGAAAAAAATGTAACCTGATAGGAGCATCAAAAGAAAGAGAACCAAAGTTTGGTTTGAGAAGACTACTCTTACCAGTACATGTACGACACTGCATTCTCATTTCCAACAATCAGTAATTCGATCACCATTCAATTTACTTGTGTCATGTCTGGGACAGAAGCAAACGAATCTGCTCGTCAGTGAAAGACACCCGCTTACAAATGTTTGAACGGAGTTACAAGAAAGATAGAAGGTGTGTACATCCGGTTTCAAAATGGCGCAGAGCAACAAGAAGCTTGTAAAATCTAAAAGCGGCTACAGGATGGTTTTTGTAGATGATAAAATTGCAAGCCCCTTCATGATGCAAGAACCACAATGGATTCCAGACAATGCAGTATGTTGATGTATTATGGTGATATTTAATGTTTATTTTTCTGCTGGAACTTCACAAAATGTTGTCAGAGTCTAGATCTAGATCTTGGCCTTGATTCCACTTTGACACTTTGTTATTGTTTTGAAAGTGGCTATTCTCACCCGCCGGAAGTTCTCGCAAGATCAACTCCTCCCCTCG